CGCGGGGAAGACAGCGCTTCCCCTGCCGACGGAAAGAGGCAAAAGCCAGCAACAAAAGCCTACAACACCTGGTATTCCCAGGCGGTCTCCCATCCAAGTACTAACCAGGCTCGACCCTGCTTAGCTTCCGAGATCGGACGAGATCGGGCGTATTCAGGGTGATATGGTCGTAGGCAAGAGCTCAGTGATGATTTAGTAAGTTCATCTCTAACCTTAACAGCTCTTTTTAATGTTCACAGCGAATGAGCTTTTCTCATGAAACTCGTGTTCACCGCCAGCTACAGATCGCGACCCCAGAGCTCACTGCTGCCACTGTCAAGACCACAGCCCTTAGGGTGCCGTGGCTCTAAGTGTCACGGTGCAGTGAAGCTGCTGAGCTGAGTTAGAATCCCGGGCACGGCTAACATCATCGGTGGTGTCGAGTGATATCCGAACCAGGTCAGCCTCTCTCCACCCCCACCACTTCACCACCAACCCGCACCGTCGACCAGCGTGGTGAAGTATGCTCAATCAACCCCCAGGACAGGACAGACATAGCGTGTTGTAGGTCTTCATCCATCAGTGGATAAACAAAGTGTGTACGTCATGGTTTAAATACACACAAATACTGTATATGAATATGATCACAACTCTTCTTCTGAGATAGATGCTCAACTTGGAGGCTGCTGCTGCTGCTTCAGAGATGGGACCACTTGGCTTTGCACCGAGACGCCTTGAGTTGAACTCCACCGTGAATGCGAGGATGACTGCAGGATGGTGTCTTCACACGATGGGGAAGTCGAGCTCTTTTATCCCAAGATGAGCACCGATACATCAGAGATGAACTTACTAAATCTTCACTGAGCTCTCGCCTGCGACCATATCACCCTGAATACGCCCGATCTCGTCCGATCTCGGAAGCTAAGCGGGTTCGAGCCTGGGTAGTACATGGATGGGAGACCGCCTGGGAATACCAGGTGTTGTAGGCTTTTGTTGCCGGCTTTTGCCTCTTTCCGTCGGCAGGGGGAGCGCTGCCTTCCCCGCGTGTCGCTCACCCACAGCGGGGCTGGCGGGTTCTCGTCTCTAGGGGGCACCGCCACCTCGGCCTCGAGCTGCACCGACTACGCGCCTGGTCATTCCGTGTCGTGCATTGTAGACTTTTGTGCTCCACTCGGACCCACAGCTAACAGAGGGGGCCTCCGATATCAACGTCACGCAGTTCACCAGCGTTCACTCACTCTGTTTGTGAGACACCGATTGTCAAAACCAGCCCAGAATTTGTTCATGTGGTCAACCATTGCTAATGAAACGATTCACTCAGGTAGCCTGGCTGATGGGATGTGGAACAAAATTATTTTTTTGTGGATTTCGCGCTGCTAAGAGGATTATCGCTGGTGCCGACATGAAAGCATTCTTATATAATGCGTTGTGCCAAGATAATTTCATTACTTTACTTTCAATATAAATTAGAACGATTTAGAAGACGTAATTTTTTATCCATTAAAGGATGTGTGACTCAATCAGCACTAACAGTTCAACTGTTCTTATGCCAATTTTAAAAAGATGGGTCATCAAAATGAGGAGTTTTAACGTGTTATTCTCATCAGGTGAGTCGCCCTTGCAAAGGAGCAACTTAGCTCCATGGGCTTTACACGATGGGAAATGAGCTTCTTTTGAATAATTGGCTGAATCTGGACTTAAAGCTTTCGTGACTGCAGGAATTCATATTCTTGGGTCTTTCAGTAAAGTCACGTAGATAGGATCAAATTAACGATGTAATTTTTTGTTATGTTCTTTTAACCTATCTACTTGACTTTACCAAAGCACCCAAGAATAATAATTGGCTGCTAGAAATGTCCACATGATAATAAGCTACTTCGTTGAACTGTGGCACGTTCATATGCGAGGGCCCCTCTGTTCGCTGTGGGTCCCAGTGGAGCACAAAAGTCTACAATGCACGACACGAAATGACCAGGCGCGTAGTCGGTGCAGCTCGAGGCCGAGGTAGCGGTGCCCCCTAGAGACGAGAACCCGCCAGCCCCGCTGTGCGTGAGCGACACGCAGGGAAGACAGCGCTCCCCCTGCCGACGGAAAGAGGCAAAAGCCGGCAACAAAAGCCTACAACACCTGGTATTCCCAGGCGGTCTCCCATCCAAGTACTAACCAGGCTCGACCCTGCTTAGCTTCCGAGATCGGACGAGATCGGGCGTATTCAGGGTGATATGGTCGTAGGCAAGAGCTCAGTGATGATTTAGTAAGTTCATCTCTAACCTTAACAGCTCTTTTTAATGTTCACAGCGAATGAACTTTTCTCATGAAACTCGTGTTCACCGCCAGCTACAGATCGCGACCCCAGAGCTCACTGCTGCCACTGTCAAGACCACAGCCCTTAGGGTGCCGTGGCTCTAAGCGTCACGGTGCAGTGAAGCTGCTGAGCTGAGTTAGAATCCCGGGCACGGCTAACATCATCGGTGGTGTCGAGTGATATCCGAACCAGGTCAGCCTCTCTCCACCCCCACCACTTCACCACCAACCCGCACCGTCGACCAGCGTGGTGAAGTATGCTCAATCAACCCCCAGGACAGGACAGACATAGCGTGTTGTAGGTCTTCATCCATCAGTGGATAAACAAAGTGTGTACGTCATGGTTTAAATACACACAAATACTGTATATGAATATGATGACAACTCTTCTTCTGAGATAGATGCTCAACTTGGAGGCTGCTGCTGCTCCAGAGATGAGACCACTTGGCTTTGCACCGAGACGTCTCGAGTTGTACTCCACCGTGAATGCGAGGATGACTGCAGGTGGTGTCTTCACACGATGGGAAAGTTAAATAAGTTCAAAGGTGAAAGGCAAATGCATTAGAGATGAATTGACTAAATCTTCACTGAGCTCTCGCCTACGACCATATCACCCTGAATACGCCCGATCTCGTCCGATCTCGGAAGCTAAGCAGGGTCGAGCCTGGTTAGTACTTGGATGGGAGACCGCCTGGGAATACCAGGTGTTGTAGGCTTTTGTTGCCGGCTTTTGCCTCTTTCCGTCGGCAGGGGGAGCGCTGTCTTCCCCGCGTGTCGCTCACGCACAGCGGGGCTGGCGGGTTCTCGTCTCTAGGGGGCACCGCTACCTCGGCCTGAAGCTGACAACTTTATTTTACAGCCCTCAGTTTTTACTCCACTGCTGGATTATTGTTTTTCCCCAAGGAACTGCAAACAGCTTTCGCCCGATGAAGCAGTGGGGCTGGCCCGTCTGGCCGGACCATCCCCCTCGCTCGTCTCCTCGATTTCCCTCCGGCAGGTTCTTCTTGGGCCGGAGCACGGCATGGTGGAACAAAAATCCTACCAACGTTTCCACCAGATGAAAGGCAGTCCACTACACGAGTCGTCCTAGTAAGGGAACTTTATTGTTCCAAGCAACACCAACACGTGTAGGGCACGAACACGGATCCTTTCGGCGAGACCTCGTCTCCCGTAGCTCCTTTTTCTCCCCCTCGCTGACATTTCCTCTTTCCCGTCAATGGGGGTTTTCCCCCAATCTACCTCATCCCGCCTAGCACCCCCTTCTCCTTATTTCTATGAGCGTGGTCCCTTGTCCTCTACGTGACGCCTACACCTCAGCCCAAACGTGCCCCCACAAATTCTACAAATGTACCTGCAGAAAGCCATAAGAACTTATACGCCATAATCATTGTTGTGGTTTCAAGATGCTTTGGTAATTCTTCAACGTTAACATTCCGGATTATTTGGTTATAGGCAGATCTTGTCTGCGTGTACCAAACTGCAAGGCGTACAAAGGACAGTTCCCCTATGTAGCCATACGCAGGACTGTTGCTGCAAGTGCTGTTGGCGACTGGTGTGGTCTAAACCACACCCGGTCACATTTGTCTCCCGAATGCTGATGTTCAGTTATTCACGCATCACTCCAGATACTAATTTAAGGTCTCGTCGACCGCAGGAAAGGCCCGAATTCTGATATCACTGGCCCCAAATGTTAGCCGTGAATCGAACCCAATTCGTAGTGCAATGCGCGTTACATTTCTCCCACTACTCCAAACATACACGCAGACACTACGGGAGACGGAGCGATTAAATAAGATCATGTGCAGGGACTAAATTGATTGTTACATTTGTAGGAGACATGCAGGTTGTTAATCATCAAGAGATAGTGTAGGAGACTTGGAAGCGTCTTGCCAGTTAGCCATTATCTGGGGAAAAGTCATGAGTGAATTTTGGGGAGGGGCACGGGCAGAAATGGCCCTCAAACTGGTTACATTAATTAATGTATTTTCAGTAGTTTACAATTAAGATTAAAAATCAATTATATGCACCCGCGATTCCGAAGGTAAGGGACAAAGCGAACCCCCCCCCCCCAAGTCAAACGCCTCCTTTGGGCAAAGCCCTGGGCAATGATTGACTGACTAACAATGAAGGCAGATCGGGGGATAAAGGAAGAGAGAGCAGTGGGGAGTTCTGAGTGCTGAGTTTCTGGAGCGTGTGTTATCTGCTGTATGACTGGCTGCATTACCTTTGGTTCATCTTTGCTCAACACCGCATGAGCTGAATTCTTTCACATTGCATGGCCGTGATGGATGGCGATGGTTGATAATTCACTGTGTAACCAGGAAAACTATTTTGTTCCTGGGTAGTAAGTGTTATTTCCTAATTGTTTATGCCTCAAACGTACAGAAAATTGCTATTATTCCCCACAAACTTTGCTTTTGTGACCACGACAATGATATTTTGAAATTGACCTATTTTCAATGAGAAAACGTGTGCATGAGTGTCATTCCTTCACATAAAGTCCTGGTCACAAAAGCAAAGTTTGGGGGGAATAGCCATCTTCTATACTTTTGAGGCATAATCAATTAGGAAATAACACTTACTAGCCAGGAACAAAAATCGTGTTACATAGTATATTGGGTATTTTCATATACATTTACAAATATATTCTATAAAAGCTACACTTTTCAAAAAAACCTGCTGATTACCTTGTGCGAATATAATAACTAAAAAAAATATTGTTTCCAAGTGTAATTTATTAACGGGAAATAAAAGGAATGCAGCAATTGCGATGTTTACGTCAAAATGACACGGACATTTTCCATTAAACAACCGCACTGAAAGCAGTAAATGAGAACCAACATCCTCACCACTTTTACCTTGATTGATCCATCTTAACCATCACCGGCACGTTAACCACCACGTTAACCATAACCACCACGTTTTACACCGTCGTATCAATAATCATATTCATATGATTATTCGTATCAATCACCATCCCTGTAGCCATCGCTACCTTAACTATGATCACCTCTTCAGCCATCTCCACCATACTAACAACCACCTTAGCCATCACCTTTAGAACCACCTTCGCCATTATCATTGAATAAACCATCATCACCTTGATTATCAATGCCTGAATCATCACCACTTTAACAATAGCACTTAAATAATTATCATCACTTACACCAACATCATCATTATTGTTATTGCACTAACAGACATGACTAGTTACACACTACTTGGGGAATTATCTGTTCCTGTTAATGTCTACACCAGCATAGACATAAAGGTACGCAACCATTTGTCAAAAAAAACTTTCGTACGCAGAAATATACGTGCACCACCAAGATAAATAGTTGTCAGTGTTTATAACCGGGTTTGGTGGTGTGTTCCACTATTTTTAGAGGCGAGGATTGGCGGATCATACGTAGATTTGTGGAACTCCCCAAGCCGATGCACCCCAAGATGAGCAAGCGATGACAGCATAGCCAGTGACATGAATCTATCTCTGGAGAGCTTTGGGTGTCACCCACTTGTACGCGTGGATTTTTATTTTTACAGGTACTGCCATTTCCTCCCACATGAAGCCAAATGGTATTTAATGCAACTGGTCAAATATCTCAATGCAGGAACATCATGAAATAGTCTTCATGCTCAATGAGACTTTTTAGAATCAAAATAAGGCAGTCCAGTTCCTATCGGTGTCACGTAACAATTATTACTATCAATGACCATAGCCGACATGCTGCCTTGATAAAATCGACGAACCAAGGCTTGATGCCTTCATGTTGGGCCTCAAGATTAAGGCCATGATGCCTTGAATGTGACACGAAGACAAACCCTCATGCCTTGATGCGAGGCCAAGGCACACTCATCAATGAAGGAAAACAACATGACGTCCAATGAGTTTTTTGATTGCTAGTTGCACACAAGACTATAAACTGCAATTTCTCTGTCATTTACAGTGGTGTAAAATCAGAGAAATAATAACTTAAAAGTGATTTATACAGCTGCCCATGTACATGTGTAGGATTACGGTGATTGTAATTCTGTGACTTTGTGGCAAATTTTGCCATCAACCAGAGGGGTAGACGTGCACCCAGTGCTTAATTTAAGCTGGAACAGTCCAGAATGCTTCTCTGGGCATAAAAAAATCACAAAAAGTTGTATTACTTTGATTATAATCATTTCAACTCGTAACGTGCCGCACAGTATTCGCCCACGTTCCAAGTGAGATAATGTCTCAGAAGGGCGAGCCACCACAGACAAGAAGCAAGGCAGCCACGCAATGAACCGGCGCTACAAACAATTGCCCTAGCTATGCAGTCGTCTATATAAATAAGGTGTTAACATGTGAGAGGAAACCGAAGCACGAGGAGAAAACCCATGCGTGCAAGGGGACAACATTCTATTCCATAGAGATGGAACAGGTGGAGTCCACATTTTCTGTACCGCCTTCTCATGGAAAGGCAGAATATGGCACGTGTACGCCCACGGGAAGGCAGTTTCACAACATCTGTGTGATCAACCAACCCTTGCGTCCATAGTGCTGGATTACATGCGTGCACCACCAATCCTGCTCAGGAATCCTAAGACTATAGGATTACAATAATTTAAGATTATGGATAGGTATGTATTGTACTAATAGCCTTACCTCAATAATCCCTACTCCAAGCCAGCCTCGCAGCATTCTGGAAATATAGTGATAAATTAAGCTCTGTGTGTACCCATAATGCACTGGCAACAGGGCACCATTTCAAACATTGTGTTCATAATTAGGAGTTCCCCTTTTCACTGCAGTTGTCAAGAATTTTTTTCTCACATTCTTGTTTTAAATTAATAACTAGTGTATTTTGACTCTGTCAAGCCCATTATGTATATTTACACTCATTACAGACTTAAGACATGTATTACATTTGATAATTATATTGTTCTGAAATCTTTTTGTTCAAATACGTTTGACCACTTTTTATTTCCGCTTACAATGAAAAATGTCACTTGTAAAAACATCGTTTAAGCAATAAGTATGGCACTGCTTCTTGATACTAAACCAACATCAATTAACATCAATTAAGCTATGGTACTAGCTGCGTGTAGATGTTGCAATGTTTTTAATGTTTTGGTTGTCAAAACCACAAATGTATTCATAAAGATGACATTCCTCTGCTATTTGGATGACTTCTAGCATCAAATTACCCTTGCTCAAAATGCACAGCGCAATTATAATAAGAAAATGTACCTGCTTAAAAAAAATCGTCCCATTAAACACACCTGACAACCAAAACATTTTTGTCTGCAAATGTACAACACAATCGACATATACGGTATTCTGCTATAAATTATCACAAATTTCCATCACGGTCAACGCCACTACTAGAGGAAGCTAAGGTGCACGCCATGAAGTGTTGTGGGGCTAAGCTCATGACGAGTTTCATCACGATCACTCGACATAAAAATTAATTTAAAAAACGGGAGAGACTACTATCCCCGCAAATGTGCAGAAAGAAACCGAGTCTTTAGCACTATTGTCTCCACAGATTTTGATCCAATCATAGAGCAGATTTTCGTCCATTCACAATACTGTAGCTTCCTTAAGTGCTAACCCATTTGCTGTCTTTCCAATTCCCAGTGCTTTAGCTCCTAGTTAATGACATGTGCAGGGAAGCCACGTATTACATTTTCGCGTAGGATTAGGAGTTTAGTGTTTGCAGCTCGGGTTTAGAGTTCTTATTTAGCGATTATAGTGCAGTATTATAGGTTACTAGGGGTTGTTCGGGGGCGCCTGTGGCGCCCCCTCACAACCATTTACGGCCTTCGGCCAGGAATGTCACCAAAAAAATTGCACACGAACGACGCATTCACGCAAGCACCCGATGCTCCGTTTTGAAGTTCTAAAAATAAACATTTTGAATTGTATTATGATTTGAATTAGATAATTGTATTTCTTCATTAAAAGCTTATATCATTTTACATCAGGAATACTTAATTGAAAGCGACATTTCGTGGGAATTTCCTCTCGTCGTTAAGTAGATGGCCTTGCTGGGGGTTTGGTTCGATGCGGACTTTCAGCTGCCTCTGTATAGCCCTGCCAAGCGTTGGTTGGCTGCTTGGTCCAGGTCACGTGACACACTTCAACCAATCCGTGCCGCGTTAGTCACAATGACAGAATGACAGACCTGGGTGTTTATATAAAGAGATGGTTTGGCATTTGAGATTAGGGTTGAGTGTTAATAGTTAGCGTTTGGTATTAAAGTGTAGGGTTATGTTTTAGGATTTATGGTTCGAAGTTGGCGTTCAGGGGTTAGGGTTTATGATTCAAAGTTATGGTTTAGAGTTAGGGTGATTGATTAAGGGTTTAGGTGAGACTTGGGGGAACAGGGCAGTAGTACCCAAGTCCGGTTTTATTACCACAAGCATGTGTGGGGTCAGTAGTCTCTGCCTTAAAAATAACGCATATCTGGAATGTGGAGAAGTTCACTCCTGATTCAAGGATGCCATGACGCAACGGTGCGACTCCACTTAGGGAGGCGCGAGAGGCTGTGACAGCGGTGGGGTATCTCACAAAGCGTGTTCCTGTGTCCCGGGTAGCGTGCACGACACAATCAGTGTGGGTCACATTGACTCAGAGCAGTGTGCACCTTCCTACATCTGCAACCAATCTCAGTCACCTGTTAGCAGCACTAAAAACTACAGTGGTAAGTAATGACCAATCACACACTCGGCTAAAGCTTTTGTTCGTGGTCGAAAAGGCTCGGAACTTGTTAACCTGCAAACGGATTCCTTATTTCTGTACTTGTTAACGTGCAATCTGATTTGACAGGACTAAAATTATTATTGAGATTCACTCCTCATCCCCCATCCTTCGTCACCCCACCATTATCGGGTAAATTGTCGAGATTCAGGGGGGAGATCTTAGAAATCAGATTTTTTTTTTTACTCAGTTATACAGTTTTGTTTGTGCTATTTTCCGAATTGACTTGCTCATAATTTGCTCCAAATAAAAGTTAATGATATCAATTCATGAATTGAGATAAATCTGTGAATCAATTGTTACATCCCTATGAAAAAAAGCCTAGCCCATGAAAATCAAATGTTAAGAAGCCTAACCATTAAAACGAATCATGTTGTACCATAACAAGGCCAACCTCGAGAAATGGAATTGCCTCTTCACGAGCCTATCCCTACAGAAAACTGACAGCAGGTAAACAAGCCTCGGTCTATAAAAAAAATTTTAAAGAAGGGAAAAAAACAAGGATTTTAAAAATATCAACGTAACACTGTCCATTGAATGATAACTGAGATTATAGAGGTGCACTGTTCAAACACCACACTGAACAGGCCGGAATTCAAGCCTAGTCACGCGACGAGCCACCGGGCTCGCTCCACCACTCTCGAGCTGAGCCACCCAACCCTTGGCCCTGCGATGGCAAAGACACAAAGAGAGACAGACGCAGAGAGAGTGAGAGGGGATCACTTCTGGATGTCGCACTGCAGAAGCAGCACGATGGATGGGTCGCTGCGAGCCGCCTCCTTGAACTCATCGAGCGAGATCTGATCGTCGTTGTTCTTGTCCATCTTGCTGAAGATGCGGTCGACACGCTGCTCGGGAGTGAGGCCATCCTCATTCATCTTCATCATGATCACCGTGCCCACCATCTTGTAGATGGCCTTTGGGGCGGGCGAGAGGATATAAAGGTCAAGAAGTGCACGTTGAAATTTTAAATGTAGAAAAATAAGACTGACAATATAAAACTGTAGCGTTTGGTCTTTGATTACAGGTGCCTGTGGAGGATTCTAGGGATATCATGGATAGGGTAAATAACTCGTAAGTTCTGAATAAATTGCAGCTGGAAAGTGTTGTACACATAATCAGTAAGCATGTGACGATGCACAAATCCACGTATTAAAAGTAATTTTCATATTCTCTGTGACAATCAGTTTACTTAAACCATCTCACCTCAGTGATCTGATACATATCTCAATGTTGATCTCACCTCACTGAACTAAACCACCTCACCTCCATACCATTTAAATTTATAAATAATCGAAATGCAACTGCATCTTAAGGCACTATACAAGAAGAAAGACGCATTGAGATGAGGCGGTACATTTAAATGTTAAGGCGAAGTGATGAACTATCGAGTGAAGGGCATGGAGAAAAGATTAATTCTATATTGGACAAGGCACATTTCGATGGAATTTGCGAGTCATCTGCAAAGAGGAACAACACCTTAATCCTGGACTCAAACAAATAGGTGTGAGTGGAGCCATGTGGATAGTCAGGAGAAGGGAGTTTCAGACTTCAGGGGCAACACCAGTGGAGAAGCAGCGATCTCCATTTGAGAAGAGGTCGACCGGGAGTTTCGACAATGACCAGGAACGTTCTCTCCACGTCGGTCTCACCTCAGTGACGACATAACAATGACCCTCTCACCTCGATGATCTCCAGCATCTCGCGGCGAGAGATGTGCCCGTCTCCGTCCAGGTCATACATATTGAAGGCCCAGTTGAGCTTCTGCTCGAAGTTGCCACGTGAGGTGATGCTGAGGGCGCAGATGAACTCCCGGAAGTCGATGGTGCCGTCGCCATTCTTGTCGAAGGTGCGGAATGCGTGCTGTGCGAACTTGGACGCATCTCCATAGGGGAAGAACTGGAATGATTCGAGGGCGACGCGCAACACAGAAGGGTGAGATTACAATTGACGAGGCGTGGCCTGCTAACTGTGCTTACATGGAGGGGTGCCATGGGTGGTACGGTACAGCACATCATGAATCCAAAATGTTCATTTAACCTTGTGTACATGCCCATGTACATTCCCTTTTGTTGATCCAAATCTGAGTCTCACCAGTGGTGAGACTCATGCCACTAAGGAAAACAAACTCACCATTTGAATACATATTTAATTACAGTCATACAAGCTGGACATGCCAGACTAATAAAATTACTGTATGATAAATACATGGTGTGTTTTCGAATAAGCATGCCTCATCATATTGTTTACATAATACAGACTGGGCTAGCCAGTACATAAGGGAGCCTAATGTCATTGTTCAGCAACCCGCAATGACCAGCATTATACATCATGAAATATCCACTGCTGGATGAAGGCCTCCCTAAGCCTTTCAGTAATGGGGCTTGATTTACTATACTTCACTATGCTGGTCATTGCAGGTTGACGATATGGAGGGGGGTTATCTAGGACTGGTTCAGATATCACTCGCCACTGGTGTTAGCCGTAATTAACAGTCTCCTTGACAATTATAAACCAAAACAATAAATAAGATCACACTTAACAAAACAATAACTTGAGATGAATGTGTGATATAAATCTAATTAATTTAAATAGTTTTTAACTAAAAGTGAAAATAAAGTGTTCAATAATCAGAGTCGAGCCGCTGCTCCTCCGAATTCGAGAGGAGCAGTTGAGGTGGTGCGAGCACCTGGTAAGGATGCCTCCGATAGACTCCCCCTGGAACTCTACAAGGCACGTGCTACTGGGCAAAGAACCCCAGGGCCGGCCCAGGACACGCTGGCGGGACTACACGTCGCTCGGCTGGCCTGGGAATGCCTCGGAATTCCCCAGGAAGAGTTAGAGTCTGTTCCCCAGGGACAGGGAAGGTCTGGACCGCCCTACTCAACATGCTGCCACCAGTACAAGCGGATTGAGAAATGAACAATAATCGTTCGATCATAAAGTATTAAAGCTTTCGTGACTGCATAAAATTACTCATTGGTTTTTTCGGTAAAGTCACGTATGTAAAAATACAATACAATTATATTAAAACAAAAAACAATCACGACGTTTCGATCACAACGCAAGCGATCTTAATCAGGTGTCAAGAACAAATCACGGAGGTAAATACAACAAAAAGATGAGAGACGAGAATTCAACAAACCTGAAAAAACATTATGTGAAGCACATCCAGTCAGGCAAACAACACAGTTAGACACTTCCTGGCGGGCCACGAAATTTAACACTCTTCTGAAATTCGTGGCCCGCCAGGAAGTGTCTAACTGTGTTGTTTGCCTGACTGGATGTGCTTCACATAATGTTTTTTCAGGTTTGTTGAATTCTCGTCTCTCATCTTTATGTTGTATTTACCTCCGTGATTTGTTCTTGACACCTGATGAAGATCGCTTGCGTTGTGATCGAAACGTGGTGAGTTTTTTGTTTTAATATAATTTAATTGTATTTCTACATACGTGACTTTACCGAAAAAAACAATGAGTAATAATCGTTCGCTTAAAAATAATGAAGGCCCTTGTAATGCTTTGCCATGTCATGGCACGATAGAAAGTATTATTACTTAGGAACAACGATGAATGTATCACCTTCCGCGATGCATTATATTATCTCATATACAGTGATAATCATGACTGATGTAAATTATAATGATGGTCTTGAAGGGCTAGAAAGATGAAAATGTGCACATATGTAGTCTGGTTGAGCTCAAGATAAATATGAGGAAAACAAAGGTCAAGTATGAAAAGTTCGATGCACAAACAAAATATCTGTTGGAGGGACACAACTTGAAAATATGTCACGTTATAAATACCTCACGAAAGTTATTGAAGGTGGACTAGGATTTAAATTATGATTGGAGTGCCTTTTGCAACACGAATTTAACATGTGAAAATAAAGGTCATGTGTAGGAGATTGTGGCATCGTGAGACAGCGGGAAGCAGAGGTGGCTTGGAGAAGAGGCCTTCATCCACCAGTAAACAGATCATGACTGTTCCTGCTAACGATAGTAATCAGTCTAGTCTAGCTTCATAATTAGAAAAATCTGAAAAGCAATACGTGTATTTCAAATTTGGGCCACCAAAAATTACGGCCCAGAGACTCGTTGTATTCATAGGGTAGGCTCAGTCATTGCTTTACAAATATACAATTGTCATCTTCAGTAGTTTACATGCCATGGAGTGTGACGTTAAAGCAGATAGGTTGGCGAAGCCCACTATGAGATTATAGTAATATAATAATGTACATTAAAGCACTGAGATTAAAATACATTATGCCAGCCATTAAGAGAGGTGTATTTTCTTTATAAAGGAATTCATGAATCACAAAGTGATTCATGAATTCACTCAAACTCATCATTGGTTTCAAATTAGCAAGGCACTTATCACTCTGTAAAATGTAAAAATGACAACACGATGGAGCATCTCGTTAAGCCAACATGTTAAATAAGTGTCATGTCAATCAGTAAAGTAGTACCAGAATACATATTTAATCAGTGGTAAAAGTTGGACATGCCAGCCCGATACGCGAGCCTCATGCTACTTTATATACATGAAGAAAAACCTCATTACGTAAAATGAATCCTAATACAAGCTGGGTTGGCAGGTCCATTAAGCAGGCAATTTATTAAGCATTTAGTCATCGTGAATAAATATTGAAAGAATACAACCATGTCTTACTAGTCCATCAAGCTAGCTATTACCAATTTGATAAGCAACCGCAGCATATGAATGCAAGTACTGTACATATTTAACCAGAATAAAACAATCTGGACAAGCCAGACAATGAAGCGAGCCTCAAAGTCACATTGTTAAGCAGCCTCAGGATCTGAATAGAGCACATTAATTTGAAATGGCACAAGCTGTGCTTCTTATTCCACGCAGAAAATGTCATGCAATTTTGTTAAACGGCCTCATCATCTGAACACGTTGAGTTAAGTGACACAAGTTGGGCTTGTTTTTTTAATTAAGTGAGCCTCCTGACAATGTATTAATCAACCTTCATATAATAATTACAGAAACACAACCTGCCAGAGACAAAACATTTACACGTATAATCAGGGAACAACCATAAATCGCAACCATCATATTGTGAATTAAGAAACGGTAAAGGGCTTGGGCAGGACACGTCACGAGTCAGGAGGATAGCCGGTGGAAGAGACTGGTAAGAGAATGGCAGCCAAAGAAGTGAATCCCCCGAAAAGGACACCCACCGCAGAGATGTAGGCATGAGACGATCAGTTATGAGCAGGTGAAGGATGGTAGGAGCATGGACAGGCCTTCATCCAGCAGTGAATTGACAATGACTGATGGTGATGAACACAAGCTGGACAAGCCATTCCAAATCATTACAATAACGCAGATGCACCTTGACATAGAGCTGCTGAAACTCATTGAGGTTGAGGCGCCCGCTCGGACAGTCCTTCAGAAAGCCCTTGTACCACTGCTTCAGCTCCTGCTCATTGAACTCTGTATTCTTGAGCAGATCCTCCAGCACCTCGGGTGCCAGCTTGCTGTTGTGCTTGCCCATGGCTGCAACTGCACGCAACACAACAGCTGGGCATGGGCACATGGGCCAGACTCTGCTGATAAGAGTCAGGGAACTTTAATCTGAAACAATTTCAGCGTTTGCTTTGCGTAAATAACAAATGCTGCCGGAAAACATTGCTCTGTAAGGGTAATCGGCTGATGGACAAAAACATAATTTTTATTTAATGTAAATAACAAATATTGAGAATGGAATTCATGTCTGTTCATTATACACTCAACACGTTGATCATCGCAATGTCTTATAACAGGAAAATATACATAGGCTGACATTTCAGGCAATGGCTCTTCTTAAAAGCACAGAAAAACATGTACACTGTGGGACCCGAGGAAATATGGTACATTTTAAGAGAGTTGACCATTTTGATGTTGATATAAAAAGCAAATGTCTATCAGTTAACATTGATTATCAGACTAACATGTAGAAAGTTTAAAATCTATATGTATCATCTTGATTATAAACTATGAATAATCTACAATTGGATGAAGGGCTTCCCAAGGCATCACCATTCCATTATGATTCTGCGATGCAACAATCCACATATAATAATAACTGATATGTATACATTGCTTTGAATAGAAATACAAAATACCATTTTGGAAATGTTATTGTATATATAAAACGCACATATTTGTTACGCTTGTGATACAGTTCATTTAAAACATGGTTGGTGCACCACGCACGAGTCACGCACAATCTGCCCGGAGAAGTAGGAAATGGCCAGCAGATGGCAGTACAGCAAGTTGGATTAGAGAAGTTGATGGATGATGCAGATTTGCGAAATAAATCCCAAACCAGCTGAGCTGCGAGGTAGCCATGGTATGGACAAGTATACAAAAATGGATTATTGAATCCATCTGTGCGGATCTTTGAGTGTGTTATCTCTTTACACATTTGCACTGGGTACTCCGGCTTCCTCTCCCACATGCAAAACACTCGTTAAAAAGTAACTGGTCAAACATTCCAATGCAGGACCCCTTTGATAGACATTTTGGAAACTTAGTTAGGCTTTAGTGTATAAGTACAGAACACTGTAATTCGTATTATTTTCTGACAGGTTGGAGAAGTGGAGTAGCGCACCTTTCACCGGTGTGATTTCCGGGCACGACTATGATCAGTGGATAGGGAAATTTTAAACGGATTTCCTTAATCTCTGACTGTGTGTGCAGCTGATATTAGAGTTCAATGTCTGGTCAGGTTTAACTTATAATCCCATCGTCCCTCCACAAAAAGCATTTTTTGTTGCATTTTGTGGAAAGTGATCGTGGTTGCTCTGCGGATAAAGGACTCTTCGTTATCAGCGGTGTAGCATGGTTGGCATGCGTACTGTTGAAAAAAAAGGAAATGGGACCCCTGTCTAATTCTCCCCTCCAGCCCGTGGGGCCCTGTACAATTGCACCACCTGTACACTCGATAGCCATGCCACTGCCGCCATGTACTCGCACAGAGATCCATAGACTCATGTAGAAACCCACAGACTGACATAGTGACCTTTAGGCGTGCACGGAGACCCATAAACTCTCATAAAGACCAACAGATTCACATAAAGACCCAGTGGCGTAGTGTGGTTGGCATGAGCCTGGTACATTGGATGAATGGGGGGGGGGGGCCCTTTCCAATTCCACTTCTTCATAACCCAGGGCCTGGGCCCCTCTGGCCCATGAGCCGCCGATGCAGTTGCACCGCCTGCACACTCCACCGTAATTCTACTCTTGACATGGGAACGTGAAATTTCCACCCCCAACTGGTTTGCTCAGGGAGACACTGACATTTTATTTAAACATGATTTCGGGGCATGACGCATAAGCATAATGGCTAGCGAATGACGAGGAGCATGAGTTACATGTTGACGAGACATCTGATACACGTCGTCATGGTGATATTCCGCTTCGTTGGTGATGAGGAAAATCATGACAAAAATCTGGCAAAAGTGAACGTTTCTGCAATAACTCATGAATCTATGACCAAATCACACTAAATACGCCCCCAGCTCATCGGACCTCGGATGTTAACCAGTGTTGAGCCTGGTTAGTACGGGTGAGACTCAGGGGCTTGCCAGGTGTTGTAGGCATGACGCTGGGAAATGTGCCCAGGAGATGTCAGTGTTTAGTTTTGCCCCCTCATCATTCGAGGTGGGTATCCTCTTGGTTCTGCCGTTTCCCCCCCCATGTGAATCCACGCTCATGAATGGAATTGGTCAAACATTCCAATGTAGCAGAAATAACTCCTGAGACTCAGCGAGGTTTCACTAGGTTACTAATTGCCATTCACACTTTGAAATACTGCACACTTAAAATACATAAAAACACAGAGTATTAATAAATATTTATTTGTAAACACCAGCCCTTTGTGAATTCACAACTGGGTGAATGCTTTCCCCATTCCGTGTCGGTCGTGGGGGGTTACTTGACCATACTTCACCACGCTTATCGGCGTCTGACGGTGAAAGGGAGCCCAGGACAGGTTCAGACACCAAATCACCACTGATGTTAACTGTGAACTGGAACTGATGTTAGCCGTGAACAGGAATCGCATAGCCCCATGTGGATTGATAGGAGAGTAATTCACGTAAATCCATCAATATTATAACATTTGAACACTCCGATTCATGCATTAAGCGCCGAAGACACACAACCGCAGTGTGGCATGTATCACACATAGGGATGGAGCTTGCGTTGTTTGCGAGCACCTATCAAAGCGGGCACGGCGTACACACGCGCGCACACACAAACGTGTATACTCTTTGGTTCTTTCGGTAAAGTTACGTAGGTATAAAATAAAATAAATCACGACGTTTCGATCGCAACACAAGCGGGTCGTTCTTATGACTATTAGTTTAAATAACAACCTGGTAAAAGCTACAACGGGAAAGTACGAGAGCTACCCGATGACCAACACGAAGCGGGGAGGCGTTCTTCGGGGAATGTGGAAAATGAAAAAAAATGAGTGCACATTAAGCATCGTTTAAAATAGACCTGGCAATCGAGTAAATAGTTGAGCGTTTAAGATAGTGGAGAGCACAGACGGAATGACGATAGAAGCGGGTAAATGTGGATCAGGTTAATGTGGATCGGCTGAGTGATCGGGGTGACTAAAGGGGTCAGATAGAGGATTTGGTAAGAGAGCGGATTAAATAAGCGGACAGTCTCGATTTAAAGCTTTCGTGACTGCAAGGATTCATATTCTTTGGTTCTTTCGGTAAAGTCACGTAGAATGAGAATAAAATAATAAATTGATAAAATAAAATAACACAATAAAATTCTCACGACGTTTCGGCCACAACACAAGCGGCCTTCATCAGGTGAAGGGACGAGACTGTCTGGAGTCCAGCGCTGTCACTCCAGACAGTCTCGTCCCCTTCACCTGATGAAGGCCGCTTGTGTTGTGGCCGAAACGTCGTGGGAATATTATTGCGTTATTTGATTTTATCAATTTATTATTTTATTCTCATTCTACGTGACTTTACCGAAAGAACCAAAGAATAAGCGGACAGTCCTTCGCACATCTTTCCGTCGACGTAAAATAAAAACAAATAAAGGAGTTTTTTGTTTGTTTGCTTGTTTATTTATTCTATCCCATCAGAGACACACACAGACACATACACGCGCTGTCTTTCTCGTTGGGAGCGCATCATTTTGAGCAACATCGATTCGCCACGAGCAAAAAACTCTGGACGAGGTTTTCGACGTTTCACCGGCTCATCGGCGGCGTCAAGAAGAACTTGCCTGAAACAATTGGCGGTGAATCTGATTAAATAATTGCGCGCGAAAACAACAATCACTCCTTTAGCGTCTCTGTGGCAAAACAACAACAACAAAAAATAAGCGCCGAAATAAATAAGCAGAACAATATTCTGTGTGCTCTCCACGCAGGAAAGAAAAAAAAAGAGCGAAAATATAAAAGTGTTTTTTCTTACGTGGTGAAACAATGGTGAAAAATAAGCCGTCGGGGTAAAAAGGGGAGCGAGGTATATAGCAGCGGGTCGAGTAAGCGGCTAAAAGCGATGGGATAAATGAAAGGGTTAAAGGAATCGGATAAGTGATCGAATGCAAAGTCTGAGATTGTAGCGGGTACATTATCGCTTAAAGTGACGGCGTACAGGGCCGGGCGAGTTGGCGAGTCGATGGATAGATGCCCGCGTTAATTAAGGTAGAGGAATGTGGTAAATGATGGGGGTAGATTACGAGGTTATTTGTTGGTAAACGATGGGGGGTAAAAGGGCGACGAGGGAAATGATGTGGGGAAATTGCAAATAGAATTAAAGGATGAGGTAAATGGTAAATTAATTACGAGGAAGATCGCGGAGTAAATTGTGGTTCATTGATGGGGGGGGGGGGGGGAATAGTCATGGTAAATGATGGTAAGTTACGAGGTAAATTATGGTGGCGCTAAACGATGGCGTATACGGCGATACGCGGCGGCGTGAAATACCAGGTGTGTGGGTTGGAAAATGTTGAGGTAAATTAAGAGGTTAACGGTGGCAAAATAACGGTCAATAATGAGGTAAATTGTGTGGGAGATGGTGATAAATGTTGAGGTAGATGGTGGTAAAGGATGAGGTAAATGGGGGTGTAAATGGCGGGAAAAGAGGGAGCCCGTAATGATTCCTACCTCCGCTGTCGTTCGGCCTCGGAGACTCGCGGCTGCAGCGAGAGACGAATCGCGAACCCAGCGGCACGGGGGGCGCGTGCGTGAGCGCGCGCGAGTGTGTGTAGATGTGTGTATGTATGTGTATGTGTAGATGTGTGTAGATGTGTGTGTAGACGTGTGTGTGTAGACGTGTGTGTGTAGACGTGTGTGTGTGTAGACGTGTGTGTGTAGACGTGTGTGTGTAGATGTGTGTGTAGACGTGTCTGTGTAGATGTGTCTGTGTAGATGTGTCTGTGTAGATGTGTGTGTGTACGTGTGTGTGTAGACGTGTGTGTGTATGTGTGTAGGTGTGTGTGTGTGTAGATGTGTATGTAGACGTGTGTGTGTAGACGTGTGTGTATGTGTGTAGATGTGTGTGTGTAGATGTGTGTAGATGTGTGTGTGTATGTGTGTATGTATGTGTGTATGTACGTGTAGATGTGTGTAGATGTGTGTGTAGACGTGTGTGTGTAGACGTGTGTGTGTAGACGTGTGTGTGTGTAGACGTGTGTGTAGACGTGTGTGTGTGTATGTGTGTGTATGTGTAGATGTGTGTGTAGACGTGTGTGTAGACGTGTGTGTGTGTAGATGTGTGTGTAGATGTGTGTGTAGACGTGTGTGTGTATGTGTGTAGATGTGTGTGTGTGTAGATGTGTGTGTAGACGTGTGTGTGTAGATATGTGTGTGTGTATGTGTGTAGATGTGTGTGTGTAGATCTGTGTGTGGATGTGTGTGTATGTGTGTAGATGTGTGTGTATGTGTGTAGACGTGTGTATGTGTGTGTATGTGTGTAGATGTGTATGTGTGTATGTGTGTAGATGTGTGTGTGTAGATGTGTGTGTGTCTGTAACTAATAAGCTTGTGCCGGAGGCCCCGGGGAGACAGGCGTCTATGACGTCTCCTGGCCAAACCCCAATTGGCGGAGCCAGGAGATTGAATCCTTACCCTCGGGGCTCCTCCAGAAACAACGAAAAGCCACTACGGATGGCCACGTGGAATGTTCGAAACTCACTGTCGGGAGCTGGACCGGTACCGCCAGGATCTCTTTGGCATTCAGGAGGTCCGGTGGACCGGTTCTGGCTCCTGCCACCATGAGGGGTGGACAGTCCTCTACCCGGGGCAGAAGACTGCCAAACAACAGGGTGTGGCTCTTCTTTTGAACAAAAGAATGAAGGGGGCGTGGGAGCGTGGCGGTGAGGTGTGGGAAGCTGTAAGCCCCAGGCTACTTTGGGCTCGCCTTCCCATCAACCGGAGGCGAGGAGTGGTGGTCGTGGTTACTTATGCCCCCACCGAAGACGAACATCCGTGGAGGGATGCAGGCAAAGCCGATGAGTCAGATGCCTTCTATGACCTCCTGTCACAGGTGCTGGCTAAAGTGGCACCTCGGGATAGTCATCATGTTGGGTGACTTCAATGCCCGAGTTGGTCATGATGCTGGCACCTGGTCTGGAGTGATTAGAGGGCATGGGCCAGATCAGCTCAATAACATCGATAGAAGGCTGCTAGATTTTTGTGCAGCCCATGGGCTTGTAATTACCAACACGCTGTTCCGGCATCGGCGCATCCATACAACATCATGGATGCATGCCGGGTCCAAGCAAGAACATCTGCTGGACAACATAGTGATGGACCAGTGTATGCGAGACCATGTCCTTGACACCAGGATTTACCGTGGAGCTGATCTGCCCTCTGACCATCGACTAGTCATCTGTAAGATGTGCCTGCCATTCTTCCACTCCGGTGGTAGATGTACACCCAGGACCCCATTCCAACCTAAAGTGGCCTGGTCTCAGTTATCTGATGAAAGTTGCAAGCGAGAATTTCATCATCGCTTGCAGATAAGATTGACATCGTCCCCCACTCCTCCTGATGTCGAGGGTAAATGGGCGAGGTTTAGCACTGTGACTCATGCAGCTGCAATGGCTGCTTTGGGTACGCGGTCCAGACCTCCTCAGAGACCCTGGCTGACAGAGGGGGTGTTCAGGATGGTTGAAAAAAGCGACAGGCCCACTGTCATCGGCTACAGAATCCCACGTCAGAGAATGAGGAGGCTTACCGCAGCCTTCGCTCGGAGGTTCGGAGAGCCGTGAGGCGTTGCAAGGATGGGTGGTGGTCGCGGGTTGCTGAGGAGATGGAGTCTGCCTCAGTGGCCCGCGATCACAAATCTATATTTAACTCCATCAAAAAAGTAACCTGCAGCGCCATACCTATTACCATCATTAGGGGAAAAAACGGTGATGCAATCTCCGACCCCCAGGAACAGGTTTGAGCATTTCTGTGAGGTCCTGGGGGAGGGAAAATCCCTCAGCCAGGAAAACATCGTGGCACAAAGTGAGGATGACCCTGCTGAGGCTGTGCTGCCTCAAATATTGGAAGAAGCCACCCCCTGTGAGTGGCTGGCTGAGGTGCCATCTGTGGAGGAATTACTGAGGGCGATCCAGAGTCTGAGACCAGAAAAGGCACCGGGCAGAGATGATCTCCCAAGTGAAATGCTGAGGGAGGGTGGCGTTTGGGCACAGACTGCCCTACATGACATCATAACAACAGTCTGGACCACTGGACGGGTTCCCCAGGATTGGAAAGATGCCCTTCTTAAAGTGGGGGACTGCACAGACAGTAACAACTACAGGGGCATCTCACTCCTCAGTGTGCCGGGAAAGGTCCTGGCAAGGATTATTCAACATCGCCTTGCTAGGCACGCTGAGGAGAGGCTTGCAGCGCCCCAATGCGGTTTCCGGAAAGGGCGGTCCTGCACAGATTCCATATTTTATGTCCGTCTGCTACAGCAGAGGTGTAGGGAATTCCAACAAGACCTACATCTCTGCTTTATTGACCTGGTCAAGGCCTATGATACCATCAGTAGGCCTGGGCTCTGGGTTGTTCTTCGTGCTTTCGGAGTCCCTGACCCTCTGCTCACGATCATTAAGGACCTTCATGATGGTGAGCGGGCCTGGGGAAACTATGTTGCCGGGAGTCAGAGCCATTCCCTGTACACCTTGGGGTGCGACAGGGATGTCCTCTGGCTCCCACATTATTTAACATCTATTTTGACCACGTAGTTCGTGAAGCCTTCAATAGCTGTACCAGCGGAATTTCCATCTGGTACAGATACAATGGGAGGCTGATCGATACCCGGGTGTGGTCAAGGGATGGCTCCCTATTGCTCAACCACGTTATGTATGCCAATGATCTGGAGTTGGAGGCACTGCTGCTGAACCTGGAGCTTGCCACCAAGAGGTGGGGCCTTACCATTAGCCCCACCAAAACTAAGCACCTGCCTGGGTATTTTGTACCATCAGACACTCCACCCCCACAACTCCCAATTGGTGATGAGGCAGTTGTGGAGAGAGTGGAGAGTTTCCCATACCTTGGCAGTGTGCTTATGACCAGCTCCGGTTTAACAGCAGAGGTCTCGCTCTGAATCAGTTGAGCGGCATTATCTTTTAATCAGTTGCGTAACGCACGAAGCTTCAGGTCTTCTCGGCCACGGTCATTCCCTCCTTTCTCTACGCTTGCGAAACGTGGACTCCCCATAATGGAACATCTTCGCCGGTTAGAAACATTTAGGCTGGCCTGTCTACGATTCATCCTGGGTTTAACCAGGCTGAATTGTGTGAGGAGCTCACAAATCCTTGAAAGATCTGGACAAATTCCCATCGGTGAGCTCCTCCAGCAGGCATGTAGCCCGCATGCCCAACCTCCGCATGCCTAAACAGCTTTTGTTCAGCCGGATCGAGGGGGCAAAACGGGCGCGGCACTGGCTAGAGACGAGATGAAGTGATGTGATACAGGAGGATGTGGAGCTGAGTGGACTTGCCGATAACTGGTACCAGCGGTGTCAAGATTGGCGTCTGTGGAGGAGGCTCGTGAAGGACGCTACTGGGCAGTTGGAGGCAGTCGCCCTCCAACAACAACGGAGGGCGGAGGAGCGACGCTCACAACAATGAGCGGAGCGCCGGGTGGCTAAAGCACAGCAAGTTGGCACAGTAGGGGGCACAGGTGGTGCATCAGCCAGTCATCTCAGTCAGTCGACCCGTGGCATCTGGGTCTGCCCCGTGACCTCCTGCCAGCGGGCCTCAAGGTGCACCTAGCCTGGTACAAGCGTCGTGGTAACGTCACCGCTACTTAGTTGTGAATGGCGGTTGTTGTTGTGCAGACGTGTGTGTAGATGTGTGTGTGGAGCGGTAGTGTAGCGGTTAGCGCACTGTGCTATGAACCTGGAGACCCCAGTTCGATTCCCGCTCACGACTACTAACAACAGTGACGATTATGAACCGGTCCTGGGCCTCCCCTAGGTCGACTCAGCCTCAAATTAGTACTTGGTGCGATGTGTAAACATCGTCACTAGGGAAACAAAGGCGGCCGGGAGTGGTGCGGGCAACCCACCCCCTCGTGTGCCGTGCTGGCCTTCATAGGTGCTCTCTAAAAGCACTTGTCCTAACAGGCTGTGTAGGCTCTACGGGGGGATCTTTGTCTTACATATACAACACACACAGGGATACAGATCACAAGACACACCATACATATATACCAAGTAAAGCAGGAACATTGGCTCAACCTTGGCATGTGTACTGGGTACATACAGACTGTGCATACATACACACAACACTCCCACACATAAAATACGCACGCATACAAATTGCTCAATTGGAATGAAAAATAGAAGCCAATCGTGTCCTCATCCTGGCAGACTAATGCCCGTTTGCAGACCACTGTGCAATAAGTCACCTTGTCCCAACAGGGACAGCTGCCAGTGGGGATGCCCTTTGAAACGTGTTGAAATTAGATGCAAATCGCTGTTAGATTGAGCGCGAACACAAACATCATCATTATACACACACATATATACAATACATACACATTATACAAAAACAACAACCGCCAGGCTATGTTCACTTTAAGGCCACGTGAAGTGTTGAACGCCCGCTGGCAGGAGACCCAGGTGCCATGGGTTGACTGACTGAGATGACTGGCCGATGCACCACACAGATGCTGACATACACACATCACACGCATGCCACGCATGCATGCATACATACATACAAATGCATACCGTTGTGACAAAACACAAATACATAATACATACGCGTATTAACGTGTCATTATAAATAATTTCAACACAATATATACATTTTATTT